CAAGTTGCCCCAGGGGAGGTTCAGATTGGAGATTAGGACAAATGTTTCAATGGAAAAGGTTATTGCACATTGCCCAGGGCAGTGGTTGAGGCCCCATCCCTGGAGACATTTAACAGCCAGGTTGACCTAGTGCTTAGAGACATGGTTTAGTGATGGTTTTGATCAGAGTGAGGTTGATGGTTGGACTGGATGATCTGAAAGGTCCCTTCCAACCTGGACAATTCTATGATCACATGACTCTATATGGTAAGTAGAAAGTAAGGATGGGACTCTGTACATACATTAAGAAGCTGCTAAACATAGAAAACAGAAGGAAAACGTGACAGTGAAAAAAAAACCACAAAACAAACAAAACAAAACGCTATCTAAAACTGAAAAGAAAGGTGTCAGCCCTAACACCAAAACATAAAACTGAAAGGAGACAGGCCTGCCCTCCTCGAGAAACAGAACAGTCTGTCGCTTTTGCCCGGCTCCAGCGGCTCCTGGGGCCGCTCGGGAGGGGAAGTCGGTCGGGACGAGGCCTCCTCCCTCCGCCGCCCCCGCTCTGCCGCCACACGACACCCCTCGACGACGTGAGGGGGACCCTGGGGATGCCGCGGAGCCACCTGAGCCGCTGGGGCCGGCGGCGGCCGCGCAACCCCACAGGCCGCCGGAGCCGGCCCGGCAGCCCCGGCCGCTTCCTCACCGCCTCCCCCTCCCGCCTCCCCCCGCACCGCCCACACCTGGCTCCGGCTCCGCCGCGCCCAAGGCCTGGGCCCGGAGCTGCCCACCCCCGCGGGGGCACCGGGGAAGGGAGAGAGGGGAGAGGCGGCGGAGGGGCCGCGGAAGGGCCTGCCTCGGCCCAGCCCTACCTGAGGAGGGTTTCCAGCGCGCTCTCGTGCTTGTCGAGCGGGCGGCCCAGCGCGCTCTTGCGGAGCTTGCTGAGCTCCTCGGCGGCCCGGCAGTGCTCGGCCTGGGCGTCGCCGCCCGGGTAGCTCTGCTGGATGAACTTGCAGAGCGGCTTGGCCAAGTCCACCTCCGAGGCCTTCTTCAGCTGCACCGAGATGAAGTTCGTCATGGCGGCGGCCGTGGCCGGTCCAGCCGCAGCTCCGCGCTCCCCTTTCCTCCCTCTCTCTCTCTATCCGGAGCGGCCCGGCCCGGCCCAGTCCAGTCCCGGTGCGGCCCGGCCCGACCCGCCGCCTTCCTCACAGCGCGGCCGGTCGCTCCACGCTTCCGGGATCGCCGCGCCCGGTGTTCCCGCCCCCCTCGCGCAGCCTCGCCCCGCGGCCGCTGCCGCCTGAGGGAGGCGCCGGCCCGGCCTGACGGGAGGGGAGGGCCCGGCCCGGCCTGACGGGAGGCCCCGATAGGGGAGGCGGGCCCGGCGCGGCTCAGATGAACCCCGTCGCCGGATGTTCGGAGGGTCAGCAGGGCAGCGTTGGCACCGAGGGGAGCGGGCCCGGCGGTGGTGGAGGGGAAGGGGGCGGTTGGAGGGCCGGGGTAGGCCGGGAGGTTGAGTTGCTGCCTCTTGGAGAAGACGTGATGGCGGAGCTCGGCTGTGGTGAGGGGAAGCTTCGCTGAGGCGGTAACGTAACCTGCGGCACGCCGGTAAATGTAGCGGGAAGCTGGTGAGATGTCAGGCTGGTAGCGCCTTAGAGGGGAGCAAGGGGTCCCATGGGATCATAGAATGGTTAGAGTTGGAAGGGACCGTGGAGTTCCAACCCCCTGCCCTGGGCAGGGACACCTCCCACCAGACCAGGTTGCTCAAGGCCACATCCAGCTTGGCCTTGAACCCCTCCAGGGATGGGGCAGCCACAGCTTCTCTGGGCAACCTCTTCCAGTGTCTCACCACCCTCACAGCAAAGAATTTCTTCCTAATATCTAATCTAAATCTCCCCTCTTTCAGTTTAAAACCACTACCCCTCATCCTATCACTCCACTCCCTGATCAAGAGTCCCTCCCCATCTCTCCTGTAGCCCCTTCAGATATTGGAAGGCCACTATAAGGTCTCCCCGGAGCCTTCTCTTCTCCAGGCTGAACAACCCCAGCTCTGCCAGCCTGTAAGAGAAGAACCATCTAGGTTGGAAAAGATCCTTAAGGTCACCGAGTCGAACCTCTACCAGAACATGGCCAAAACCATCACTAAACCATATCCCTCAGCACCACTTCTCCCCATCTTTTACAAACCTCCAAGGGTGGCAATTCAGCCATTTCCCTGGGCCGCCTGTTCCAATGTTTGATAACCCTTTCTGTGAAAAAAATTTTCCTAATACCCAGTCTGAACCTCCCCTGGCTCCACTTGAGACCGTTTTTTCTTGTCCTATCTCACAGAATCACAAAACTGTCAGAGTTGGAAGGGACCTGTAGAGCCCATCCAGTCCAACTCCCCTGCCAAAGCAGGGTTGCCCGGAGCACATCACTCAGGGGTGCATCCATGTGGGTCTTGAAGATCTCCAGAGAAGGGGATTCCACACCCTCCCTGGGCAGCCTCTGCCAGGGCTCTGGCACCCTCACTGGAAAGAAGTTTTTCCTCAGATTTGAGTGGAACTTCCCGTGTTCCAGCTTGTGCCCATTGCCCCTCATCCTATCACTCAACTCCCTGATCAAGAGTCCCTCCCCATCTCTCCTGTAGCCCCTTCAGATATTGGAAGGCCACTATAAGGTCTCCCCGGAGCCTTCTCTTCTCCAGGCTCAAGAGCCCCAGTTCTCTCAGTCTTTCCTCGTAAGGGAGGTGCTCCAATCTCAACCCACCCTAAGAATAGATGTTTTAAATAAAGTGAAATGTTACTTCTCCGTAGCAAACGTTGAAGTGTCTCTATTGGCAGTAAAAGGCACAGATTCCCATGTTGCTGTAATTACAGAGCTGGCATCCACATCACACTTGCTTTCTGCTGACTCAGCCCAGCGTAGCTCAAATAGGCAAAACAGGCAATTTGTGAGGCTGGCTGCTCTGAAGACTGAAAAGGAAATATCCAACCCATGTTCTCATTTCTCCCTTTCTTCTGCTACTTGTTCTAGGCAGCCAAGGCTATAAAGCCTGCTATTTTCTTATTACATAAGGCATGAGGTGATGATATCATAAAAAGGAGTGGTAGCAGTGCTTTTAAAATGATGCAAAAGGATTTGGTCTCGTGTTGCAGCAGAGCACGAGTTTTGCTGTGAAGTAAAGCCAGTGATCCCTTCCTACTGAAAGTGTCCTGTGCTAGGAGTATATACTGTGCTAGCTTCTTTGTTATCTCTTGAATGTCTGAAGTGATGGCATAAGAGGAAAAGGGTAGAAAGAGCCTGGGAAATCAGTCTTAACTGCTCCTGCTGCCACTGGGAGGGGCAACTCCTCCAGTATTAACTGTCCCTGTATCCAATCCAGAGGTGCTGTGGCAACAGCAGCCGAGCCCTCCTGGGCACTGGGCATAGGGAACAAGTTGTCCTTGTTCTGCTGCTTCCAGTCACCTTTGGTGAGGCCCAAGTGGTCGGGCTTCAGAGCCTTGCTGGGTTGCTTCTGTTATAAATCTTTGTTATATCCACAGAAAAGTGAATATATATGTTAACAGTTCCTTGGTGCACTCCTGCCTCCCTGTACCAAGTCAACACACAGCTCAATTTCTCATAGCTTAATCACAACCAAATAGTAGCTGCCTTAATTTTACAATTAAAAAAGAAAAAAAAAAAGGGCGAGGGGATTTTTATTGTACATTGAATACAGCAAGTAAGTAAGCTGTCCTGCCTTACTCGTACCTGGGTATGTGAGTTCCTCACTGCTTTTTTCTTTTTCCCCAGGTTGCACTTTCCTGTCCCAGAGAAAACCTCCATGGTCCCAAGCTTAGATTCTGAGCTACAGACAGCTGGGCAGTCGCTCCTGTCCCAGAGAAAACCTCCATGGTCCCAAGCTTAGATTCTGATCAGTCTTAAGCTACAGACAGCTGGGCAGTCACCTCCCTTTGTTTCCAACACCAAGACCTTATGGGTAGGTACCCTACACACCATTACAAGATATGTGGGTGTCTCTATATGGAAGATGGAAGCCATCAATACCTTCCAGCGTTACACTCATAAACACGGAAAGGGTGTGAACAGGGAAGGGCAAAAACCTGCAGCTGTGAGATCATAGTCCCACTTTGGAACCATCGTGACCTTTAGATGGCTGTTGCTTAACAAATGCAATGGCTGATACTTTGCATTCCTAAACCCTCCACCAACACAGCACAAAAATTTCACTTTGTCCTAGAATAAGTAACCAGAACTTCAAACATACAGGTGATTTGCTTCTTTCCCACAGGTTTCTTAATAAATCTGAACTCCTCTGAAGGCTTTGTTCCGATTATTACAATTATAATATTATAAGCCCTAATGACTCGTCTCCTTGTTACCTCTTACTATTTAAGTGCTATTTCCCAATTTAGAGATGAGGAAGCCACATAGTCAGCAGTTATCAGTGCAGGGGGCATAATCTACATCTTCTGACTCAGAGTCCTGTGCTTTAAACAACAGACCATACTTCCTTCTTCAACAAATTTATGATAGTATCTACGAGAACCACTTTAAAACAGGTTTCCCCTAAAATGTTTGAAGTAATGCAACATAAACAAGTTATAGCCATATTTAAGCATTACCAAGGTCACTAATGTATTTAATTTTGGTATAGACAGATCATTAGATGTCCCCAGTTTTCATCTTTTTTCCTAAACAACCATTATGGATATGTAGAGCACCACAGTTTTGCAAAAGCATTTCTAAAAGTCAGATTTCCTTTCAGTATGCAAACTGGCTTTCCTGCATGCTTCGTGGGGCTTGCCTATGGTTTTTAGACAGGAAACTTTTTTCACTGAACTCTGTTGTTCTGTTTTATGCTTGCTTTCTGTTCACAAGTTCTGTGTACAGATATTTCATTGAAGAAAGATTTTATTCTGCATTTGGCGTACTTTATTCTATAGATTTTGATCATGCTGCTTTATCCATAGTGCCCTGTAGCAATTGCACTTATTGACGAACAGATGCTATACTAAACAAATAAAAAAATCAGCAATAGGAAGAGATAAGGCAGTTAGTTGTTCATTTCATTAAATCTGGTGGTCCTTTTGCCTACAGCTTCGTTTAATCATAAGAATCATAGAATAATAGAATGGTTTGGGTTGGAAGGGACCTTAAAGATCATCCAGTTCCACCCCCCTGCCATGGGCAGGGACACCTCCCACCAGACCAGGTTGCTCCAAGCCCCATCCAGCCTGGCCTTGAACCCCTCCAGGGATGGGGCAGCCACAGCTTCTCTGGGCAACCTGTTCCAGTGCCTCACCATCCTTGTAGTAAAGAATTTCTTTCTAATATCTCATGTGAATCTCTCCTCTTTCAGTTTAAAACCATTACCCCTCATCCTATGGCTACACTCCCTGACCAATAGTCCCTCCCCCTCTCTCCTGTAGCCCCTTCATATACTGGAAGGCTGCTATAAGGTCTCCTCAGAGCCTTCTCCAGGCTGAAGAACCCCAGAAGCCTGTCTTCACAGGAGAGGTTCTTCAGCCCTCTAATCACTCAGATCCAACCCCATTTTCATACTCCTAACATCATCTTTTGGTGACAAAGGCTAAGGACCAAGTCTTTTATTACCATTATCTTTTGACCATGAGTTTCAGGGGTGATTATCATCAGTTGCCAAAATGAGGGAACACAGAGAACAAGTTGTGTGTCAGAAGAAGCTCTGATTGGGTCCAAATAACCCATCTAGTCCTACTGCCTGCGTAGAAGAAAATGTAAAATCCTCACGACTTGTGAATGGAATTTTTCCTTAACAGCCCATAATCACAAGCACAAGGAAGAAATCCTACCATTTCCTTCAAAGTGGACACTCCTTTACCTTTTCTTGCAAAATTTAGAGGAACTATTAATCCTGTTTTCTTCAACTTCCATTTGTGTTCATTAAAGTTTTATATTTCTCATAGGTGGGGAGGGACCTGAACCAGAAGATATGTTGATAGCAAACTCAGCTGGGCAGGGGCCGTGCTTATCTTTGTGCATGTAGAGCCACATTTACAAGAATGCTTGATAGATACCATTCTCCCACTGTTCCAGTGCTAAATAAAAACCCCACCTCTTCAATCCAAATTCAAGATATGATACAGGTCAGGATGAAGAAATGAGAGGCTGGAGAAGGAGGAAAACAGGTCTAAACACTGTGGGTACACTTATTTAGGGTAGACGCTTGTGTATAATGGTAATTATAACGAAGTTGTCTTTCAACCATA